AACGGATCTGGTCTCATGTGTGGTCCACGACATCGAAGAGGCAAATTCACAAGGATGGGCAGCTACTTTTGTAACGTTGGACGTTCAAGGAGCATTCGACGCGGTACTCCATAATCGATTAGTAAGGAGGATGCAGGAGCAGGGATGGCCGAAGTCTATTCTCAAATGGACAAGCTCCTTCCTCGCCAATCGGATGGTTCAAGTGCGATACTCTGGGGGAGTCACTGCCAAGAGAGAGCTAGTGTGCGGAGTTCCACAGGGCTCACCGATCTCGCCACTTCTCTTCCTTCTATATATGGCAGAGCCCATGCGAAGTGGAACCCCGGGTCTGAGGTTTAGCTACGCCGACGATATTGGTATCCTTGGACTTGGCCGGACGATTGCAGAGTCTGCAGCCGCAGCACAGGATGAGGTCAATAACCTACTAGACTGGGCTCGAAATAATGCTGTCGCTTTCGATACAGACAAGTCCGAAGTCGTACAATTCCCCGGACGATACCGCGAAACATCGGTTGGAATCTATGTCAACGAAACCTTCATAGAGCCGTCGCAAAATGTCCGCTGGCTTGGTGTGTTCCTCGATCCTCGACTAAACTTCAAACACCACGTCATAAATTGGTGTGGCAAAGCGTTGAAAATTGCACAGCACATGCGTCGCTTCAATACAGCCTACCGAAGAGCCGCTCCTGGGGCGTTGGTTAAAGCGATCGACACATGTATTGTCCCAATCGCAACGTACGGAGCTGATGTCTGGTGGCCTGGCCTTAGACGCCCAACAATACGAGGGATGGTGACACCGCCCACTGCTGGCCTATGTAGTATGATTGATAAGGCTGTCTTAATGGGTCTTAGGTCAGCACTACCGGTAATGAGAACAACCCCCAACGCCGTACTACATAGGGAAGGAGGAATACCAACCGGGAAAATCATTCTCGAAGGAAACCGACTTCGCCTCTCTGCCAGAATGCAAACACTTGACGACCGCCATCCGCTTAGGATCCGTGCTGCAGTTTGCCCAAATGTCGGTACGCGAAAATATAAAAAGCACAATCGAAAATCTGCGCGTCCTGAAATTCAAATGTCACGGGCTCAGCGTGCTTATAGACAGCTACCAGAGGCAGAGGCCGCGGAACCTCTTGCCCCACCATTTTATCAATCGCGGCCGGGTTCGAAGGTTGGTTCGAGAAAAGACCAAATAGAAGCCTGTAAACTTTGGATCACTAATGTGCCAAAGTCAGAAATCTGTGCTTACTTGGACGGAGCATCGGAGGGAAAGGGACGCTCAGCTTCGGGGTTTGTCCTAAAGCTGGATGGGAAAACTTTTCAAAAAGGAAGTGGCATAAAGCACGGTGGAGAGGCTTTAGATGCAGAGATTATGGGGGCACAGGAAGCTCTTAAAGCAGCGTTGGGTCACCTGAGAGGAAAGGAGTACCTGGCGAAGGGAACGACGCAGTGCATTAATGTGTTGATGGATAGTCGACATGCGATAAATGCACTGAGCACGGGCAGGTCCTCGACCAGCCACGAGGAAGTACGAAAGTTTCGCGAGTTATCTGGGCTAGCTCAGGTAAGAATAACGTGGGTAGCAGGACACTCGGGGATACATGGAAATGAAGAAGCAGACGCAGCGGCCAAATCCGCCCTACGAACGCTTCCCAGCGTGGAAACTGAGCCAGCAACCACCACGACAGCATTTTTACACCAAAAATTGCATCGACAGCGACAGACTTTGCTCGACAGCTGGTGGAATGAAACTTGCCCGTCACGGTATCGTGAGCTAGATCTGCTCATGCGCCGTCGTAAACCACCAGAACTTGGGCTTTCCAGGCTACAGTTACGACATCTCATTGCAGCCCGTACGGGCCACGGCAATTTCGCGGCGTACCATCGTCGCTTCAACAATTCGCACGCTATCACAGAGTGCACCTGTGGGGAGGAAACCACCCCTACCCACTTCATACATTGTCGACTCAACGCAAATATCACGCGTCGAATCAGAGGGTCATTGTCATACAGTGCCTTCTTACACAAGCTACTCGGGCCTAAGTGCTTCGAGGGCTTCAAACAATTTGCGCAGGATACCAATTGTTTTGGGTATTCTCCTGTGCATCCATCTCCTACTCTCAGTGGAGATCGAATATAACTCGTCAGGAAACTAAACCTGACAAAATGGGAATCGAGGCGAGGAGTATTGCTTCCCATTCTAAATTATTTGCAATTTATTTTTTTCTTTTGTTAATTTTGGGAAAAGGAGTTCGCGTCGGCGCATATTTTTAACTTACTGCTGGTTTTGTGGTGGTTCATGTGGTGGAATCAAGCTGGGTATGTCTTAGATGTAGTTCTGGCTGTGAATATCGGTCCTGTACACATAGTGGATTTGAAGCTTTAGCTCAGGACTTGAATAAAATAACAACAACAAAGACAAATGCATGCTTGGATAGTCAAATGTTCTGAATCTTTATTTTGGTAGATACCCGCGGAGGAGGATCAATTTTCTGTGCAATCAGACACAACTCAGCGATAATCGCCAATCAAACCCACAGAATGGATTTTTTAACGTCAAAAAAGTCATCCTACGTGCATAGACGATACTGATCAAGTATCATAACTAGATAGGGTTGGATGGGGCAGTGGTACACCATCCGGGCCGTTCTTCCAAGTAGATAATGGGTAGCTTGAACACCTACCCCATTCGAGACAGGAGAATGCTGGCTCGAATCCAGTCTGACCCACACACCACTCTGTCTCGCGGTGATATTGTACTTGTGGGATGATGAAAGCACACTCGGATAGCCACGGGGTTTTCCCGCTTTTCCCTGCGGTGGGTACGCACGGAAGAGGTTATACGCCGTAAGGGCTAACCTCGAGTGGTATCTGCAAATTAAATCTGAGTGTGAGTGTTCTAAGTGTCAAACTGAGTCATCCTACTTAAGTACATATCTTTCGACAAAACCTACATGGGTCTCAAGGCGCCAAATCAGGAAAAATAAATAATATAAATATCATAACTAGATAGTTGAAGATTTATGAAATAATTGAAAAAAAAAAAGAAAAATGCTTTTATAACCCATGCATACCAGCACTGTGAGAAATATGTCTAGTATTGCCGAACTCGTACCAGCTATCTTTTGTCTTAAGTGGGATTTGTGTCCGAGCTATCTAGAATCTACTGAGTAAACTGGCCAGGATGATGTACTACCGCATCATCCAACCATGGCAGTATTTATAGTGTCGCCTGCACTCTATGAAATAGCTATCGTGAATACCCATGAACAGCGGAATTTCATGCCTTACCGATTGATTTGGGTGATGATGGATAATTTCCACACAAATCTAACGGGAGGTCAACACGTACGTTGGGCAAGCTAATGTTCTCTTTCAATTGCCTGAAGCTCTATAGGTATACATGAACGGGGGGCTTGTCTACTTTGATTTTTACATCTCTTTCCAAATGTATAGTCGATATTATCACCCGAAGTATTCATCACGCGTGGCAATAGATTAATGATGTTTGAGACACGAAAAAGATCTGGACTCGCGGGGAATCGAACCCCGGACCACTCCCATTCCACTGTGCTAAGGGAGTATTATACCACTAAACCACGAGCCCCGCTTGTTCTAGACGGTCTTAGATCACTACAATATTTACAATCCATCATGAGGCTTATGAGAAGCCAACGCTCTAGGCACTCTGCCCAACACTCACAAGCTGTTCAACTTGCAGTACTCACCAAATAAGTCAAGCCGCAAGAAGGCATTCATACGATATTTTGTGGTCTGCATCGACTTAATTTGACTTTAGTAATTAACAGAGATGTCTGACGCCAGTAAGCCGTGCCGATGCGCCAAATCTTCTTCAGAGGACCCAGAGGCCAGGGCCATCCTACATGGCTTCTTGGCCTTGAACGTTCATAAAAAGATAGAAACTGCATAATCCTGTTTATTATTTCTCAGTCTAAGACCGTATGTGACAGGCTATATTCGAAAGCTTGGTAGAAAATTAGAGTGGAGATACAAAAGCATACCAACACTGTATGGGGCTCCTCTCCGACCCAGGCCTCGCCTGGTACAATGCTTCTGTCCCCTCTTGTTGAGGGACAAAAGCTCTGATATGTTGCTCAAGAAGGATAGCCGTTCAGCCCAGTAATCACCCGTCTAGTTCAGCCTGCTCTTCCATGAAGCCCTCTACCCCAAAAAAATAAAAATTATCAAAAAAAAATACAGACACAGTCACGCGAGGTGCATGTGTCCATCTATATCTCCCTTCTTTGTTAGATAAGAAGTTATTGTGATCCAATCTATGGTAGGGCTTCGAGCCTACCGTTTGATATAATCCTGGTTAGCTTTATATACTTTTGGTGAGGAGATCATTGGTTAGAATTTAGCGAGTTTTATCAAAATTCCTCCCGGTTTTGTTGTACAATATGAAAGAGGTGGATTTAGGTGACCAATGGCTTTGAAACTACTCTTTGGATGATTCTCACGGAAAAGGGTCGGCTATTCTGAGTAGACAAACAAACATGCGTGATAGTAGTGTATGCTAATGGTACCTAGAGGATGAGTGTCTCTTTAGATAATCCTCATCTAGCCTGTACTAGAGATAATGATCATATTTTATCGCTAGATACCCACTAAAAACAATATATAATATATAAACCAGAAGCTCTATGCATCAGATATCGATAAACGATTTATCCTGTACCTGGGGAGAATCAATCACATATTTTGCTGTAGTGGCGATGTATTAGTAATAACCTGACATGACGGAGTTTCAATACCAATGGTCTTATCTCCAGGACGTGGAGACCCATATCATTTTACTCGATAGCATGTTAAACAGCTATTCACTAGCTTATTTTGGGGCTCATTTAGCTTGTGTTAAATGGGAATATGGTAGGCTATCATAAATTACATTCTCGTAAGCTCCAAAGGCCGAACCTCCTAATCGAAGATCATTGAAGTATGCCAAGGAATAAGTATTCCACACTCTTACCCTAAGTATGACAAGGCAACGAGCTATTGCTGCCTGTTTCAAGGAATCTGACGGCATCACAAGGCGAAGGAGATGTGAGGTTGGGCTAGTTGCTTCGAAAACCTTCAACAAGGCTTTGACGACATGTCTTGCACTTCGTCAACGGAGCATTGTCGAAGACCCGCGAATCCACAGCCTAGGTAGATCCATAGTCGATGACTATGCTGCAGTTCGAAAAACCTACTGTATACCTCAGCATCTTGCGCCTGGAAATGTGACTGATGATTTTTAGTGACTCCAGGAAACCCAATCGTCCTCGCACACGGGTTTCTAGGCTTTGGTGTACTCCAGATAGGGTACGAATGGATGCCGAGAATCCACTATTGGCGTGGAATTGCTGATGCACTACGTGCAAATGGCACGGAAGTCATAACTCCATCCGTACCTCCATCAGGTAGTATCGAAGAACGCGCCGAAATGTTGAGCGAGCAAATCGCCAAGCAAGCACAGGGCAAAAGCGTCAATATAATTGCGCATAGTATGGGGGGACTTGATGCTCGCTACATGATATCTCATTTGAAGCCTAAGAACGTTACAGTGCTTTCTCTAACTACCATTGCATCTCCACACCATGGCACGACATTGGCAGATACTATATTTGATGCCGGAGCAGCCTATATTCCACATTTATATAGAATCATGGCCCAGGCCAATATCCGAACCGGTGCATTTAGCCAGCTAACCCGGAGTTTTATGACAAAGGAATTCAATCCGAAAACCCCAGATGCACCTGGTATCAGATACTTTTCGTATGGCGCAACAATCAATCCAAACTTGTGGAGCATTTTTCGACTACCTCACCAAGTAATCAGCAGACATGAGGGTCCAAATGATGGACTGGTCAGCGTAGCTAGTTCTAAATGGGGTACTTACAAGGGTACATTAATGGATGTCACTCACTTGGATCTGATTAATTGGTCAAATCGCCTGCAATGGATAACTACACACATATTTGGACATGCTCAAAAGTAAATACGATAAAAAGCCCATGAGATTTGGACTTATTGCTGACCCAACTATAGATTCAACGCTATTGCCTTGTACTTAGATATAATCGATATGCTGGCCAGGGAGGGCTTTTGAAATCTAGAGGCTTAGTGAAAGGGTACGATAGAACCACATATCCCCACTCAGATGTCAGCCAGTGGCGATCCGACCACTAAAAACCTAACAAAATGATACCCGCCGATAATCGAAAGCTTCATCAGAGAATGAGCCATATTTAAGTCTCAAGATTGTCATGTTGCTTATGTATCATCCCTGTAATTAAGTGGTTCTAAAAATAATCTTTTGAATAAGTGTGTCAATTTTAATCTTCTGATACTCATTGTATAGCACATGTCGATAACTGTCAACATTCATAGATTTTATCTGTGGCAAATTATCTCTAAACTGGCTGAATTTATTAACTTGTTGGTATACTTCCCCAACACCTCCGTTACGGCTCTAATCTAACTATACAATCCTTCGAGTATCTTTTTGATTTATTTACTGAAGTAATACTACCGTTCTAACATAGCTGGTTGAATACATAATTCTAAAACTAGAGCTGTCAACTGCCAAAAACCTAAATAAGCATAAGCAGTATTTGAATGCATGTCGTGTCCTATCCCTCAAGGTACGTCCTTGAATTTCACCTTTCATCCCACTTACATCCAAAGTTTCACGGTCCAATATTTCAAATTAATTACATGCTGAGAATTACCACCATGTATCTTGAAATAATCGCACCAAATCTTCAACACTTGGGGATGTAAATAATATTAATGACGCGGCTGTGTGCCAGGACCCTAAAATTAGGTTCCGTGCGCTGCCTGGACAGATTTCAAAGGAAATTCGACAAACTATGTTTCTTTTTTTTGTTAAATTGATAAAGCGCATGAAGCACTAAATGACTATACTACGTTGTCTCCACAGTAATTTAAATTCATTGATTCTTGGACGTGGCAAACGTACAATTCAAAGGTTTAACTAGATATTAATAGTGGCTCATTCTGATTTTGACTGAACATGAATTAGATTCTTGCTAGATTCATCTTTGTCGGGTTATCCACAACCTGGAGCAGCTTGAATCCTACGAGCCCCAAACTAATAATCTAAGATAGACTCAGTGAGATAATGATGAGCAGCTACGTGCGACATCTCTTTGTTTTGTATCAAATTTTAACTGCGTATGCAACTATCTAGCCATAACACAATATCAGAGAAAAAGTGCAGAAAAGATGACTCAGAAAAGAAGGAAACTACTGCTACCTAAGAATTTTACTTATAATCCTTTCTAACTCGTCACTTCCTTCACTTTTAAATAGTCCTTTAACCAGACGTCATTTCATTCCAAATCATACATTACCTCATTCCAACTCGCACGTCATCTAAGATTTCTTCTATTACGTCATTCCCATGATTTAGAAATAATTTAACCACCTTCGATCTTGCTTAGGTGCCTGCCTAAGCCAAAACACGGTCAACCGAGTGCAGCTGACACTATAAAAACAAGCCAACGATGGAAGGTGTTATGGTCCGCCTCCTGGTGGTGTTCTCTGGTATAGTCTGAGTAGCCTTGGTACCTACTCCACTTGGGAAGGAGACATCTCAGACCACATTTCGCGCGGAAAAAATTTGATGGATGATGGAGGCATGTCTGGATAACTCAGAGTTTTTGAGACGTTCCCCTGGGTGGGTATTCACGGATGAAGGTTGACTTGGGGTCAAGAAAAAGCCACCATAACTTCGCAGTGGTACTTGCAAATGAAATCTGAGGCATGCATGCTCTTTCCTTACGTTGAGTCATCTATTCTGTACTTTTCTCCGATATTGTGTCATAGCTAGACATCTGCATACGCAATTAAAATCTGATATAAAAAAAACACGATCAACCCGTAACACCAAAGAACATCAACAGGGGACGGACCACTGAACCAGCCATCGTTGGCTTATTTTTAAAGCGTCAGCTGCACTCTCGCAATCGGAAGCTTGGTATGTATGACGCTATTCAATATTTAAATCTTGCCAAAATTCAAAGCTTCGCGCCCCTCGAGATAGTATCTATCGTCTGCGTCATCCTGTAAATTTGTCTCTGTTTCTTTCATGCCCATCCTCGAGTCCTACATCCTAGATTTGTGTGATAAGATTTTTGTCCACCTGTGAGTATAAATATCGGCGTGGGCGTGTATTCGGTGGCCAGATGAGGCCAGAGAATAGTCGATGTGAGGTGTGGTTATTGACATAAGGATATACTAAGCCTTACCTGTAAACTTGATGAGGTTCTGATGAGGATCGATCTCGTTTGGAGTAAAATATTGACTTGGTTGAGAGTAGTGAATCATTGCCTCATGGGCCGGCTTCTTTGATGTAATGTTTTATTGTACTACTTGAGTCATAGACTATTTGGCACGTTGGACTCCTCTATGGCCCAGGTCACACCTTCTACAGTGTTCCTATGCTCTTTTATTCCTTAAAAGATCATTAATGTATTGCCCGTGATGAATAACCATTCAGCTCAGTATTGACTCGTGGATTTCGGCCACCTTTTCCACGGAGCCTTCTACCCAAAAATAATTAAAAAATGATAGCGATGGAAACTTCGTGCGCGGGAAAACGTCTCAAAAAACCTGCAGCCCCAGCCAGGCGAGACCTGGACACCGGGACCACATAAGGTGCGCATATTCATCTATATCTCCCTTCTTTGTAACAGTCAAGGTCGACTTGATGCAATCCACCATCTCCGTATTGGGTGCTGGGTACGCTCCGGAAACTCATCGGATGGCTTTTCCTCCATGATCAAGGGTTGTGATGAGTAGGGCTCCGACCCTACCATCTGATCTGATGGTGGTTAGCTTCATGATAATGGTGACAGGGGGATGTCTTGAGAGATGAAGACGATACAGATAGCGAAAGCGATTGGGAATCCTCGTCGAAGTGAGGGCTTTGTTACTCATCTCGGCCCTGCAGACTCTACAGTGAGAGCTGGAGGCTCGTAGGGGACACCACTGACAGCTGTTGAGAATAGTCCCCCTATTACCGCTGGAAAAAGGCAGTAAGTAGGCAAAATTACTCCCTTTCCGTCGGTAGAAAAGGCATACACGTCTTTACAAACTCATATACCCACTGGGGCGTTAAACGTAATCAAAATACAAAAAATGTAAATGGGCAAGATAGGCGATAGATATGACCCCTGCATTTTATTGATCTTTGAATCTATTCTTTCTCTCTTATAATCATTTATCGTGCCTTCATCTACCTAGCTGTGACACATTGACAATGCCATGCGGCATTTTAGACGACTCTTTTGAATTAAGAGACAATTATATTCCAGATTTCATTCGCAAACACCATCGACATGCTTGCTTGCACAAAAAGTCGACTCTCTTTCACAAGTATACTCTAGAAAAAAGTTTCACGGCGTTGCGTCACTCGTTATTAGAGCACTGAGATAACTAAGACCGATTCTCGCTGAATTCTAATCAATGATTTCCTTTCGCAAGTAGGATAAGTGTCCAGATGATGTACTGTTTGAAATGGCGCGCAATGAAATGGGTGCAATATTAACAGAGGGAATGAAGAAGTTGACTAAAAGAGTGCCACATTTGGAGTTGTGCTTAGAGTGGATGAAGTGTGTGTAAGCGATACGGAGCCCGAGCATTCGGCAAAGACGCATTCTTCGCCTTCCAGCGGTGCCCGTGTAATCGCTCAGTATGCTCTGCATATCTGGGATAACCAAGAAGCATTGCATCCGAATCGAAGTCGAGAGCAACCTCAAGTGGACCTTTATTTGACGACTTCTCGATAATATCTCTCTTATAATTCTCATCTGAGTCCTCAACCTCTTTCCAGCCACACATTATCACGCCTCAACGACCAACAAGGAAGTTGCTCCAATTGCAAACAGAAGCTTGCCCCATTAATTTTCAGCCATCTCTCACTACAAATTTACGAAGCTACGTATACCCTCAAGGAGAAAATCAAGTCATAATATACAAGGCCTGGGTCTTGGCTTATGGGGGACTGTTGCTCTAATAGGGTTATACATCTTGAGGAGAGACAGGCGACTGACATGTGGAGCGAGAGGGGGAACAGGTCTCTGAACACAATGCTGGTACTGCCATTTTCGAGGAGTTTTCAACATTGGAACGTTTGTGGGCGCTTACATCAAGATTCCGGCTAATTGGCGAGGAGGTAACGGCACTCCCCAGCGCCCTGGACGGTACAAAAGAAGCTAGGCTAAGCTACTATACAGAAATCACGCTCTGTCAAGAATTTTCTGAAATTTCAGCACGACCTTGGGGAAGAGGTTGGAAGGAAGCTAGAAAGGCAGAGGGTGAAATTCAATGAGTTACCCACAAGTCTGCAGCGTGCAGCTGGCCGGCCTCTTCGAACGCATCAGAAGGATCACTCTGTCTTCGGACTTAGCCCTAATGTCGGTATTAGGAGAGCTCCGCACCCAGTGATTTTTGCGATTTTCCCCGGCTGCCATACACCCACAAATGGCCATCGTTTCGTTGGCTGGAGAGGGGAGATGATGAAGGGCTATGTGCTCCTCTAATTGTATGATCGAATGAAGACTTGTGAGAGGTGGTACTGTTTGAGGGCAGCTGTATGTGAGGCATAGGAGGGGATATACTACTGGTATAGGTATCCTTGGCCTGTAGGCAAAGAGGAACTGCATGTCCTCTGAAGTCTATGACTCAGACAGTACAATAAATGAATTTAAAAAAAAATGAGCCTAAGCCACAGCTTAAACGAGTGTGGCGCCATCTAGGCGTAGAAAACCCCCCAATAACCTCCTTGCACCCACGCCGTACAGCTGCTGATTTATCCATAAAGTAGCCTGAAGCGCTGCCACATTACTTATTTCAACCCCTCAATTTCACACAAGGTCGTGTTAATAACCTAGACTAAATAGAAGGCCTGTACGTCCACAACACTCTATCTCACTATTTCCAATATATACCACAGCACTATCTAGCCAAAGCTGAAGATAGTTAGCCTGAGCTCTTACAGTCGAATTTGTAGCACGTACGATTTTCTTCAATATGAGCAAAATATAATTCGAGTCTCGACCACGTCCGTGACCGTGAGGTAATGCTAAATCTATATTACAAGCCTTGAGTTAACACAAATATATCCATTTTTTCTGTTCAGTGTGTTCTAATAGACGCCGAGAGCCTTTCCCTGACTTTTAACATGAAAATCCACGTCAAACATAAAGGTCTTATTCCTTTCGAGATTTGACCATACTTGTGGCATCTTCTCCATGTACATCAATCTGCTCCCCGTGTTTATGCGCCACGTTTTTTTCCCTCATGTAGCTATTTACATTGTCGTAGGCGTTCATATCGACACCATTCTATGCGCAATAGCGATTCAACAAGAAATGTGCTCGTGGAATGGATTAAGCTTTGCTCCAAGTTGACCTTGACGGGATACAAAGTCTGAATTGATAGAGAGGCCTGAATTATTTGTCGTACGCCTACTTTTCCGGCTCTGGGATAAATTTCCAAACCCTGCTTCAAGTTGGGCGACGCTAACCGCAGTTTAACCTTCGACCTGTATAATCTGTTCTTGCTGAGATGGAACTAGCCATCTTCATTCTGCAGTGATCAAGGGTTTCGAAGTTATCTAGAGTTTTTTTTAGAAACTGACCGGCCTGGTGTACTACTGCACCAAGCCTCGCATGTAATGTTATATCTTTAGCTCATCGTGCAGATCGGGAGCGGATGGCTGCGTGACGAAGGGGCGGCTGGATATCCCGGACATGACTCTCCGGAAACCCAAAGCTGGTGGAAGTTTGAAATGATCGACAGTAAATCGCATCGCCTTCACGACATGGGCTTTGGAAGACCAGTGCGATCGGCAAGCTTGGGCGTGGCCTTACCGTACATCGCCGAGGCTGGATAAGTTGGATGGGAGCTTGTACAGCCAATGACCATTGCCAGTCTGCCATCGGCCTGCAGATGCAGCAGGGCGTGAGACGTGAGAGACTCCCCGGAGAAGTGCAGCGGTCGGCGAGGCTCGTTGTGGTCTTCTCGCATGTCCGTCTATTTTTAGCTGCGAAGACATTGGAGTGCCTACACCTCCATACGGATGTTATGCTCCATGAGATAGCTAGACGCATGATGTCGAAGCCTGGTCAGCCCCCGCATATTGTATCGGCCTGTAGATTGCTAGAGACGCGGGCACTCGGTGGCCTTTGACCTGCCGGAGTGGGACCGACATTGGGCTCGGAATCTCTTGTACCTCGCCGCATGCAGTGTGGACAATCATTGATTGCGCCTTCTTTCCTATCGCCGCAGTCATGCAAGATTGGGTACGATTGGCCACTTCCCTATCATCCCTTCGTGTTTGGTCGCATTTGATTTCCCGACGAAGCGTAGCTCAGGGCTGAGATCAGGTTTAGTCAAGCATTCGGCCGCCACCAACATCTACTGACAGCAAGCACGTCCCTTATTTCAGACTAAATTTAGCCACCTTCGCTCCTTCGTTGGTATGACCGAAATTACACGCGCCGCGTACAGATCGAGGGTCATTCAGAACCAGCTCTCTCACACCCTGGAATTTGATACTGGTCGGGTATCTCTCTTTTCACAGGTTCACGTGCTCCCTCAATTACGCACAGTATACCTTACTTTTGGGAGCTGAAACTAAGGCTTTTTATGGGTAAGAACAGGGCGGTGGCATGAAAACTCTTGTTTCCAACTGCAGCTCGCGGACTAAGGCAATACTCGCATTCGTTTGAGACAAAATGCCGATCAAACATACAAGTCATGCCAGGAAACATCTACTAAATTCTATATATCATACGTCATTCTTTGTATTCCAAGTCATTTTTCACGGACGCCTTGTGACTGTACCCCGAAACATCTTGTGAACTTTTAGAAATTGCTCAATCAGCTTACGTAACGGACGATTTAAACGAGATCTAAGCGTCTCGCTAATTATACTATAGGCTTGGCTTTTCTTCAACCTGCTAGTGGGATGTAATGCCTCCAGTGTAAATAGAGTAGAAAAAAACCCAAACTCCCCACTTAAAATCCCCAAAAAATATAGTTTATCAATAGTCGGGGTTTATCCTTGCAACGTCTAGAGCGATACCAGATATAGCGAGGACGTTACAGCCTCGAGATTGAGGTTCTCCTGAGAGGCATTTCTTCAACCAGCTTGACCTCGGGAATATTAATGGCCCATTCATAATTTCGGAGTGATTGTGACCGTTTCCGCTTTTGGGTTGCAGCATCATCCCAAGTTACCTCCATCGTATTTGTGTTATTTTCTTCTGATAGTTCTGATGTTGAAACATCTACAACAACCTCCTCTTCTGGGTGTAAAACGGTAGTACCTTTTGCATTGATTCCAGTTTTAGATTCGATCGCGGGGTATGATAAATAGTCAGTAAGAAGATCAATGTGAGACTTGATATATTTGTGGGTCAGGATCGTCTGAGTCAGCGGGTCGTTGTAGCTAACTTTTTTCGGACTTCGCTCAGGCATCCTCACAGATAAGCGGTTTGACGTAGCTGGGGTCGTAGAACTAACTAATGGAACAAGTGGTGAGTTTCGTAAGATACTACGAAGGCTTCTTGGATGCGTATAAGGCACTTCCTGGCACAGTGACTGTTCTCGGGCCGCAGAAGGTGTACTTGGGGTATTGTAATTAGGAGCATTGGTTGAAAATGAATTCTCAGGTTTGACAGAATGGATAGGCATTGAAACCATAGTGTTAATCGAGAAGTTGTCTTCGTTTCCTGGATATGCAGTGGTAGGAGCCCGACACGGAATGGTCGATCTATCCGAACTTAGCTCGAAGCCTTGGCTCAGGTTATTTGTTTGTTTGGGTGGGCATGTCGACGCAGGCCTAGGAGAAGAATTTCCTATGAAAAAGGCGCATGCATTGGTAAAGGTATTGAAGGATGTGGGTGACATAGATCCGATGTTCAGTTTCATTGGAGCGGCTGCCTTTGTTTGGAGTGATAGACGTGGTCTTTTGAGAGGTGAAGACATTTGTGGAGGCTTGACAGACATTTCGAATGCTGTGCGTAGAGTAGCTAGATACCTCTAATGGACGGCGGGTTGAAGACTACTGGTCAATCTATACGCCTACTTGTCGCAAAAGAGAGATGACGAAATCCAAATTAGATGACTAGGCAATGGTTTGGAAAAGATTAGAATATATAAAAGAGACGATTTCGGCCGATAATAAAATAGTTATAAGACAAATTAGACTGTCAAAAGATAATGAGGTCTCTTAAGTGCGCGTGGATACATGTATCTTTATATGCGGGTTGGAAGGGAGGCTGAAAGTTGATTGGATATATTTAAGCACATATGTACTTTTGCTTATAAGACAGCGATCTAGGATTACGCGAACAGGTGGCCCACACAAGCGCTCGACTACGGATTTCTTCAAACTCGCGTCACTAGAGCAGGCACAGAAAGTCGATGTGGATCTGTCGGTCGCTAGCCTGCGCCATACTGATTGGTTAAAGCTTGAGATTAATCACAGCCATATTCTTGGGCAGGCCAGATCTCGATGTGTTCTATTATGACTTGTGTTTGACAAGCGCCAGTTGAAAAATAATGGGGAAACCTGGGTGTGAACAGCAGTCCTTCCAGCGATAAAAAACCCTGTGAATCTCATGATTCCTTGCGCTGCTAAATATTCGTCCGTCTCATGTCTAATTTTGAGTACATTACGTAAAGCTTCCCCCATTTATAGATGTTCTAAAGTAATGCCTGCACCCTTCCTACTGTTCACGGCGCTAGACAGGCCAGGGTCGCATCACCTATGGCAAGTCTCCTACCTTGTTCATCCACCACCATCATGCCTCTCCCAGGCCAAGAAGCCAAGGCACCCCGAAGAAACGATGAAAGAACTATTATCCATTTCGTAAGCTCGAATTATCCAGTTTAGCTACTCCGTTGGACTAATTCGGGTGGTACTCCACCACAAGGATTACGACTGTTTCTATGCTGCAGTCTTTGAGAATGAGAATCCAGCCCTAAAATCGGTTCCACTTGTTGTTTAGCCCACAATTCCTTCAGGGCTTTTGGCTGACTCTTGATAGGCAGTCCAGCAGGTAGGTCCTCAGTCTTATCCCGCAATGCCAACAGACAACCTGAACTTGCGTAGAAGCAAATAATCGTAACGTGCAATTATGTCGCCAGGCAACGGGGGTTGCGGAAACTTCAACTCGTCACCGAGGCCAAAAAGATCGTACCAGAAGTAGTTATCGTGCTTGGGGAGGAACTGGGTAGGTTTCGGGACGTTTCCAAAACGCTTTACCACTTCCTTAAATCATTCAGCTGGTGCGGGAGAGCGGAGCGCTTGGGATTTGATGAGGTCTTCCTAGACGTGTCTGATATAGTCAACTTTAATCAAGCCCTGCTCGACCCAAAAGACCTGCAGCACTCATTCTTTCGCTTGAACCGAGATGATTCTACCGTAGGATTTGCATGCGATGCCACCGTTCAAGCTGGCCACTCATTTCCAGCTTCCACTGAGGCTCTTCTAGATAAAAGCGAGACCTCTGTTTTACAACGTCTTACGCTCGGATCGTATCTAGCAGAGCACTTACGCACTCGGATGGAAGACGAGACAGGCTACACGGCTACAGCAGGAATATCCACGAATAAGCTTTTAGCCAAGCTCGTGGGAAGTCTAAACAAGCCACGAGGGCAAACAACTCTCTTACCTCCATACATCATGCCACCGAGATTTCAAGAGAATCCTCCTAGCAATGTGATTAGATTCATTGACCGCTACGAAATCAGTAAAATTCCAGGTGTCGGGCACAAGTCATCTCAGCGCATCCGAAGTTACGTTACATCTTTGTATCCTTCATTTGGCTCCGACTTACCCGATAAGGCTAGTGATGAAGCTGTCTTAGTTCGTGATGTCCGAAACTTTCCTGGCATGGGCCCAGAGGTACTCGAAAGAGTACTCGGTGGCCCTGGTGCCGAGCGTGGAATTGGCGGAAAAATATGGGGGCTGCTCCATGGAGTGGACAACAGTATTGTTAAAAATGCTAGGCAGATACCTCATCAAATCAGCATGGAAAATACTTATCTTTGCCTTAAAACTATGTCAGAAGTCCATCATCAACTCAGTAAGCTTGCCATGAGGTTAATTAAACGAATGCATATTGATCTACTTGAGGATTGTGAAGGGTCATATACAGGTTCCTCAAAAAAATGGATCGCTCAACCAAAAACCGTTCGTCTTTCTTCACGAGCGAGACCTACAAAAAATTCAGTCACAACGCAAGCCAGGAGCTACAGTCGTGTTTCTAGGTCTTGTCCTTGCCCCAATTTCATTTTTGAGTTGGATGTGGATATCAATCTAGTGGTGGAAAGATTGGTTGAAAAGACCCTTATTCCCTTATTCAAAAAGCTGCACCCCAAGAACCTTGAATGGAACCTGTGCCTGGTTAACCTGTGTGTTACCAACATGAAACAGATAGCCGAGAAAGACTGCCAAGATATATCAAGAATGATAAGTCTTTCAAAAGATATGACTAACGAGGAATCAAACATACTCAACAATCTACCGTTAAATTCTATTTCTGGTGAAAAAAACTCAGTCTCTTCTTTAAATTCTTTGTCACTTCAATTAAGTGACCAGCAAACAGACGAAGAAAGTGAAGATCAGTTTAGATACCAAGCCAAATGTGATACCTGTGACGTCACGGTACCATTATTTGCCATGAAAGCGCACCGCAGATTTCATTCACATGGCTAGGTAGTAAATAAATCACTCTTCGACACGCATGATTAATTCCAGCTAAATAAATGTGTCCGTTTGCTCAACACTACGTGCAATACATAGCCAATGGAGACTTCGGACCAGTAGATATGAATCTCTAATATCCAGTGCAGCATACGGCTGACTGGCTGTCTACTAGCTGATCATCAATGTCATTCTTCTAGACAGCGAGCTTTTCATAGACAGCCATGATCCCACTTCTCATCTGCAAGTGCGGGAGTTGTGCACATCTTCCCAAGATCGTTGGATAGAAGTAATTGCAATGAACTAGAGGCTAAGTGAGCGATTATCCGCTATCAGTGATTAAGAATCAACTTCTTGTGCAGAACCAGCACAGGGCTCATTGGAACAGAGAATGTCGGTCAGTCAGATTTGCCAAGGCCTTGGACAGATTCTATTCTAAATTTATGGTATCCACTCACTTATTCCAGAAGTTTTCCCACCCCCAATGGTTCTAAATTCATTGCCGAACCCTAGTTCCGGAATCACAACCTTGAAATACAGGATCGGCACAAAATTATCCATTGAGGATGGAAGCTTCGGCTGTCGCTATGAGACCCGCTAATTATACCCGAGGATCTTGATATTAGCAAAAATCGCTTAGGACCGATAGCGCACTCGGTACTCATGCAGATCACTCCTATGACGCATAATCTCATGCATCATCCTTCTCTCGCCCATCGCCGACGATATTGCACTCTTACATGTTAAGATTTACATTTTACAGCACAGGCTTGCATAATGACTGGGGCTAGGAAAATTCCTACACTAGTCAGTTTAGTCGAGGAGGGGCTGCTTCTACAGACTGTCAGGGCCCTGAAAGACCTAGGACACCCAGGCCTAATGTGGCTGCTCACGTGGCTTTACACAAGTGTAGCGGTTCCCTCCTGGCAGTTTGATGCACATTCTACAGCTCAGCTTCGAAAAGTGAACCGGATCCTGTGTGTATGTCAAATACCTCTCTTGACTGACACGATAATGACAAACTGAATTCTACGTGTTGTTGCCGGGATGAAATTTAATTGACTCCACTAAATAGCCAGACCATGCCCGTCAAATCACACTAAAGAAATTTTTAAATCTTTTAGTTGCCCACGATTGTCTCCGCTGTCTCCTAGGCGAGCTCCACGAGTAATATGATTGGGCCTGACAGGGTTCTTAGAAAGCGTGAGTAGATGAGCCATCGGCATTGGCTTCTCTCTACCCATGATCTTTCTCTATGGACGTGGTAGACAGGGATGGCCCATAGCACCGCCCTATATCCTCCGACCGGCGCCACCACTCCAGGCCGCAAAAAAACGTCGCGGAACATTTGGCTTGAGCATTTTCCGGGGTAGAAAGGACTAGTTTAGGGGTTCATTGCGTGTCGTAATAAGAGTCGTGTTCTATAGATCGGATATTAAAGTGGCGAACTGTTGACGCTGGTACGTCATGTCAAGTCTCACTGCTGGAGCGGACATGTGTCCAATCATGGGGAAATTGCACGGTTGTTTGGGAATGATAAAACCGGACTTGGGCTAGGAAAGCTTCTGAAACTTCCCCTCTGTTGTATACACGCGTGCAGCGCCTAGATAGCCGACACCCGAAGGCACGAGCCCACACTAGACCCACGTAGTTGAGAAGTAATCAATTGCATTCTGCTGTACCCAGACGAGACCAATTAACCACCAGAAACTGCTGGAAGCTTCTGACAAGTATCCTTCTGTTCACCGGGGCCTACAGACAAATTCCGAATCACCCGCAAAGAACGTAGGTCCTTCTGAGATTGTCGGTTACCTATGACCTTTCTAGCCAACAGATATCAAAGTATGCATAGGCTCTTAGATCATAACTATTTGGGAACTTAAATTTTCTCTCTTGCTCTGTCTACTATAACGACAGTGATCATTGTTGCATATTCATTGATTGAATCTCACAGTGACTCTAGCCAACGAATAACCGTATAGATTGATCCCTCGACTTTACAGTGCTTCGAGGCTTAAGGATCACAACTCATGTATATTGGTGTCGGAATGATCTGGTGGTATTTATATCATAAGCTTGCTATAATAGTAATAATAACCATTGGTCAATAAATATATTGATATTTCTCTCTTCCCTCGAAAAAAACATAGAAAAAGTAATTAATCCTCTCTCCGGTTGGATGTTGCGGTAGTACACCAACCGGGCTGTTCTCCCGAGTAAATCCTGGGCAGCTGGAACAAATACCCCACTTGAGACGGGAGAGAGCTGCTTCGAATCCGGTAAGACCCACAAATCACACTTTCCCACGGTGATATTGTATCTGTGGGGTGATGAAAGCATATTCAGACAACCGTGTGGTTTTCCACGCTTTTCCCTGTGGTGCGCACGGAATGAGTTGTGTCTACAAATCAAGTCTGAATGTGAGTGTTCCAACCGTCAAAATGAGTCATTTACAAAAAATTCATGTCTTCCGAAAATTCCTGCCTAAGCCTCAGTGTGTCGAATGAAGATAATTGAATAATATATATGTCCCTCTCTCCTACAGCCATTCCTAAACGGTTACCTCACAACACATTAATATAATTAGTCATCGTTTCTCAGGTAATACATGAAGGATCATTGAGTCATTGGGTCATTCGGCATTTAGGTTAGACTATTTCCAGGCAGCTTGTTATTTGTAGCTAGAGTTCTTGAGCGCTCTGGGTTCGAAGGGGTTTGAGAGCGGGCCACTTGTTGCCGTTGTTTTGAAGATCGCTGCAGGCTTCAGAGTTTAATTGATCCCTCGGTCGAGAGATCGGGCCAACATCGGCCTTCCTTCAAATGTGCGTGTTCCTCGCCAATAGTCCGGGCGGATTGGGCGGGATCGAGATACGATTAGCCAAGGTATTCAGTGATATTAGACCAATTAGAGACTGACAAAAGTGTGTTATTAAAACCAAAGTGGTACATCTCTGTAGATAAGTAACACTGAGTTCTCCTTGATGTGGGGGACTATTCTCAACACCTGTCAGTGATGTCTCCTACGAGCCTCCAGCTCTCACTGTAGAGTCTGCAAAGCTGAGATTGAGTAACAAAGCCCTCACTTCGACGAGGATTCCCAATCGCTTTCGCTGTCTGTATCGTCTTCATCTCTCAAGACATCCCCCTATCACCATTATCATGAAGCTAACCACCATCAGATCAGATGGTAGGGTCGGAGCTCTACTCATCACCAACCCTTGATCATGGAGGAAAAGCCATCCGATGAGTTTCCGGAGCGTACCCAGCACCCGATACGGAGATGGTGGATTGGATCAAGTCGACCTTGACTGTTACAAAGAAGGGAGATATAGATGAATATGCGCACCTCATGTGGTCCCGGTGTCTAGGTCTCGCCTGGCTGGGGCTGCAGGTTTTTTGAGACGTTTTCCCGCGCACGCAGTTTCCATTGCTACCATTTTTATTTTTTTTGGGTAGAAGGCTCCGTGGAAAAAGTGGCCGAAATCCACGAGTCAATACTGAGCTGAATGGCTATTCATCACGGGCAATATATCAATGATCTTTTAAGGAATAAAAGAGGGTAGGAGCACTGTACAAGGTGTGGCCTGGGTCAGAGAGGAGCCCAATGTTCTAGATAGACTAAGCCTCAAGTAGTACGATAAACACACCTCTCTCAAATGCTCCGGTTGATTTGCCGGCAAAATATGGTACATATCTCGTCGGCGGTGCATCCACGCGGGTTGAGTTGGTCACCTTGGCCGAGGTATAAACGAATACAAGGCCAGTACTTTGAGCGTGTCTCCAAAGCGCGCGAAAGTTGTGGCAATATGGGCGTCTATTTGTATATTAGATAGCGGGTATAACTTTTTGGATTATAGGTAGCTTCAATTGCTGGTGAGATGACTTTGGAGAGTGTCGCGAAATGAACTTAACTGGGAAAGCTCTGCCAGTAAATTTTGAGGTTGTGAAGGTTGTCATTTAGTCTAATAAGAACATCAGACAAGTTTGATCCTACCTGCGCTTCTTATTTGGGGTGTATATATTTGAGTTCGTTAGTTTGTACAGTTGTTAAATCTTTGTGGGTCAAATAGTCCGCCAGAAATTTGCAAAAACCACTCCTCCCGATCGCCAACTTGACCAAAACTCTCATATTCACCCTTTGTCGTGCCTGAATCTCGGTTCTGGAAGATATTTCGCTCCCAGGTTCGTACAGGATACCACTGACACGTGTTCAGCCTCCGTTCTGCATGTCAACCCACAGAGATGCGAAGGTGTGAAGGGTTTGGCTGCGTGATCACGGGCTACGTCTAAAGCGGAACTTTTGAGAGCTGGGATCAGCATGGTTAGACGCTTGAGCGAAGTTTGGGGTGATTGAATCAATTAGATGTGACAGTGTTTGTTCTACTGTACATATCTGCCAGGTAGAGTGCAGCTGACACCATAAAAACAAGCAAACGATGGAAGTTGTTGTGGTCCGCCTCCTGGTGGTGTTCTCTGGTATGGTTTGAGTAGCCTGGGCACCTACTTCACTTGGGAAGGAGACATCTCAGATCACAGCTCGCGAAGAGAAAAGTTGAAAGATAATGGAGGCATGTCTGGATAACCCAGGGTTTTTGAGACGTTCCCCTGGGTAAGTATTCACGGATGAGGGTTGACTTGGGGTGAAGAAGAAGCCACCATAACTTCGCAGTGGTACTTGCAAATGAAATCCGAGGCATGAGTGCTCTTTCTTTACGTTGAATCATCTATTCTGTACTTTTCTTTGATATTGTGTCATAGCTAGATAGCTGCATACGCAATTAAAATCTGATGCAAAAAAAAAAAAATCTGCCAGGTTGGAGGACAAGACTGAACACCTGTACGAGGTGTCCTCTACGAACCTAGGAGTGAAATATTCTCCCAGAGCCAGGTTCAGTCAAATTTCGCAATACTGAACAAGTTTGCCCACGAGGCGATGATTCAAAATACTCCACCACGTCAAATCTTCACTCCCAAAGAGTCCGATTCATACCTAAGCCTCATCAAGTCTACAAGTAAGACCCAGTACATCCTAATTCCAATAATCATACCTCTCGTCAACTTTCTCTGGCCTCAGCTGGTCGCCAGATACACGCCCACGCCGATACTTACATCCGATGGAGGTCACCAAGCGTGGCGCACACATCTGGGAGACTGTTCTTTGGGATTGGGGTGAGAGGACTCAGGACAAGTTGGTAAGATGACGCAGAGGATGGATACAATTTTGATGGGCGTGAATCTTTGATGTTTGGCAAGGAGATTTTACAAACTGAGCTTTGTGCGTGCCAAGTCTTCAGTTGCGAGAGTGCAGGCGACACTATATTAATTTATTAATTCATTTTATTGTCCTGTCTGAGTCTATGACTATGTAAGACATACAGGTCCTCTCTGCCTACGGGCCAAGGATACCTATACCAGTAGTATATCCCCTCCTATGCCTCCCATACAGCTGCCCTCAAACAGTACCACCTCTCACAAGTCTTCATTCGATCATACAATTAGAGGAGCACTTAGCCCTTCATCATCTCCCCTCTCCAGCCAACGAAACGATGGCCATTTATGGGTGTATGGCAGCCGGGGAAAATCGCAAAAACCACTGGGTGCGGAGCCCTCCTAATACCGACATTAGGGCTTAGTCCGAAGACATAGTGATCCTTCTGATGCATTCGAAGAGGCCGGCCAGCTGGACGCTGCAGACTTGTGGATACCTCGGGGAATTCAAACTAGGCTTTTCTAGCCTCCTTCCAACCTCTTCCCCAAGGTCGTGCTGAAATTTCAGAAAATTCTTGACAGAGCGTGATTGCTGTATGGTAGCTTAGCACAACTTCTTTCGTGCCGTTCAGGGCGCTGGGGAGTGCCGTTGACTCATGGACAAAAGAAGCCCTCCTGGCTAATTGGCCGAAACCTTGGCCTTGGCGCCCACAAAAACTCCAAAGTTGAAAACTCGACGAAAATGGCAGTCCCAGCATGGTCTCCAGATACCTGTTCCTCCTCTCGCTCCACATCTTAACCGCATGTTCATCCTCAAGTTTTTTGTCCCATTAGAGCAACAGTCCCCCGCAAGCCAAGACCCAGGATTTGGATTTTTCGACTTGATTTCCTTCTTACGGGTATAAATAACATCGTCATTATATAGTGAGAGATAGCCGGAAATTAATGGGGCAATACCCTGTATGCAATTGGAGAAACTTCTTTATTGGTCGTTGAGGCGAGATGATGCATGGTTAGAGATGGGTTGAGGACTCAGATGATAATGATGAGAGAGGCATTGCCGAGAATTCGTCAAATGAAGATGTGTTTGAGGTTGCTTTCGACTTCGATTCGGATGCGATTCTTCTTGGCTATCCCAGATATGCAGAGCACACTGAGCGATTACAAAGGAACCACTGGAAGGTGACACTATAAACACCGCCATGGTTGGATGGTGCGGTGGTACATCGTCTTGGCCAGTCTCCCAAGTAGAGTCTGGATAGCTTGGACACATATCCCACTTGAGACAGTAGATCGCTGGTTCAAATCCGGCAAAACACAACCACATTTCTCACGGCGCTAGTATGCATGGACGACGAAGGCATGTTTTAATAATCAAAGGTTTTGAAATTCCCTTTGGTGGGTACTTACGGAGGAGGGTCGACTGTTTGTATAAGCAAGCATACCTCATAGTGGTATTTGCGAATGAAATCCAGAGCATGAGTGTCTCTAACGTCAAAAGAGTCATCCAATATGTATACATAGCACCGGTCATGTTTCATAGCTCTATAGCTGAATACACATTAAATGATTAATGAAAAAAGTAGTTCAGGTACATAGCTAGGACTGTAAGTGATACCATGACGTGGCTAATCTGCGAAATCAACAACCCTGTTCAAATCATTAGTGGTTGCGGAATATTATTCATCCGCATTGCTTGTAAATGTATGTCATGTATATGCCCCTAGACAAAACGACAAAGAATATATTTACTGTATAACAATCAATGCTATGATTAGCTCTAAAAGCTGGTCATTAAGACTCATATATCGATATGAAAGTCAATGTCTGAGCTCTATTCGCTCCCATACTACGAATCTAGTATATCAATCGTCGATACGGAGATTCCATAAACAAAATGCAGCTGCGTCTACTTTGCCGAGGCCAAGTCAGGCTTCCTATCAGGCGCAAAACACTTCGAGCTTGTACTATATACTTAGCACCATACTTGGGACTGTAGCCTTGTCCTATGGCTCCGTGCCCATGTACAAAATGGTCTCGCTGCCCTAATCTGCCTTATCATCAGAGTTTCAAGGCTAACAAACAAGCATTCAGATCTGCCAAACGACAGGGTGGGGAGGACAACCCATTAAAGCACCAGGTCATGGAAGCAATACTGATTCAAGTGATCCCTCCGAACGACTTCGTCCCGTTACGACTGCCCCAAGGATCCGCATTACTTTCAACGGATCTGTGTCGGATGTTCTTCCATGGAAATTTGTACCGCAACAGCGCGAAGTGCGGGTCCTTCCAGGAGAGACAGCATTGGCGTTCTACACAGCAACCAACCAAAGCAAGGAAGATATCATTGGAGTTGCAACTTACAGCGTAACGCCAGCGCAAGTTGCACCATACTTCAGCAAGATCCAGTGTTTTTGCTTCGAAGAACAGAGGTTAAATGCAGGTGAGACGGTTGACATGCCTGTGTTTTTCTATATTGATCCGGACTTCGTCAACGATCCAAGCATGAAGAATATTGAACAGGTTACACTGAGCTACACATTTTTCAGTAAATAATGTTCTAGACTTCTTATTTAAGTCGTGGCTAACTTTGGATAGAAGCACGGTATGAAAAGAGTGGTCATTTAGAACCAGTAGCCTGAATCAACTGTTCAAGTAATGCAATACCAGAGCTCATTGTAAAAAAGGCGAATTGTCCTAAGCTATCCCAGCTCAAGCTAGTCCATGCGAATAATTCTATCGTATAGCTGGGTGGACTCTTATATAGTTTGTTCAAACTAGTTGAACAAATCAACCCCTTGGTATTTGGAATTCAAATTAGGGACAAAGAGGCCGGTCTCGAATATAAGTTTTCCGCATGGAATGCAATTTAAAACTGCGAGAACTAACGGGCTAAAAGAATTTTTGTGAGATATCCAGCTTAACATGACCTAGAAGTCCAGTTTGAAACCTTAAAGAATTACTAATTTTACAAACTTTGTTTACCCACTGAATCCCAAGAGTTAATTTTTATCCGTCCTGTAGTGCAAAGGAAACTATGTGCTGGCTCGAATTCGGCTAGTAACCTACAATACCGTAGAAGCGCAACGTACATGTTTTGTCCCGCATTTTACTTTTTAGGTCTGCGGGATATTTACTGCTGAAGTTGGTGCTACTTGCCTATAAAGACCATCATCAAAATTGAACTTAAAGGAGGAAGCCTTACCAGTCAGGTTGATGATTACTCATATAATGGCAAGCTACACAGTTAGGAGGGCAAGACTATACGCCTGTACTCGACCTCTACGAATATGGGAGTAGAATATTCTCCAAGAGCCAGGTTCAGTCAAATTTCATCATACGACAGAAGTTAGCCCACGAGGCAATGATCCAAAATTCTCCACCATTTCAAATTTTCATTCCCAACTAGCTAGACTCCTATTTAAGTCTCATCATGTCTACAAGTATGACTTCGTACATACTCATTCCAATGACCACATCTCTCGTCGACTTTCTCTAGCCTCAGCTGGTCACCAGATACACTCCCACATCGATATTTACATCCACAGAAAGAAGCCAAGCCTGGCGCACAAATATGGGATATATTACTCGATGAAAGTGAGAGGGACCAGTACAAGTTCCGAGTTGATTCAAGGGAAGGATTTCACCATGAAAGGCGTGAGATTCTGAATGTTGGTAAGGAGTTTTATAAATTATGCTTTGTGCGCGCCAACACTTCGATTGCAAGTGTGCAGCTGACACTATAGATACAAGCCAAAGATGGAAAGTGTAGTGGTCCGCCTCCTGGTGATGTTCTCTGGTATGGTCTGAGTAGCCTGGGTACCTACTCCACTTGGGAAGGAGACATCTCAGATCACAGCTCGCGAAGAGAAAAGTTGAAAGATGATGGAGGCAGGTCTGGATAACCCAGGGTTTTTGAGACGTTCCCCTGGGTAAGTATTCACAGATGAGGGCTGACTTTAGGTGAAGAAAAAGCCGCCATAACTTCGCAGTGGTGCTTGCAAATGAAATCCGAGGCATTAATGGTCTTCCTTTACATGGAGTCATCTATCATGTACTATTTCTCTGATATTTTGTCATATCTAGATAGCTGCGCATGCAGTTAAAATCTGATGCAAAAAAAAGCTACACAATTATCTAGTTTAAGCAAATAAATTGTGTCCACCGCCTAATGGCAGTAACTAGTTTACGTAGCACTTAAAACCTTAGTGGATTTAATTAATAATTCTCCACTAAATATTTCAAACTCCCAACTCGCTCCGCTAGGTGATATTAACCACAAGTCTAACAGCCTATTTTCTCTACCAAGTCTACTACATCAGGTCACAAGCCCGGTTCTGAAAGAAAAGCAATAATGTCTCGGAATTTCTCTTTCTCTTGTTTTCCAATCAATCATTCAACAGTTTAACAAAAATGGTAAATTCACCTTCGAACCAAACCTCCATTCTAGATAAAGAAAACGATAATATTTCAAAAAGCGATTAGACTACTATCAAACTGTGAATAGCTTGGAAGCGATCAATATAGAGTTTAAGGTGTTAGGTTTACAAAGCTTGGAGTTACTATTTTCGGACAAAGGCGTTTCGCTTGGTTTGTAGCAATGGGAAATCTATATCTTCTCACTAGGGATGTTTCGTTCTAAACCATGAGAAACTCGGCTCATGGGGACAAGTTGGGGACAGATAGAGCATTTGCCATTTTCTAGACGTACATAATCTAGATAATTGAATAATGTAAGAAATAAAAAGTGTCAATTAATTCCTGGCTGCCATTTCTCTTTCTGTAACTGACTCGTAGAGTCTAACAACTACTCAATGTGTCGTTCTCTAATGTTACCAAACTGACCGGATACGATACTTACCAGTCATGGGCCATAATGACGGAGGCAATCAGGAGAGGTCAAAATCTCTATGTACTTGTTGCTGGCAAAAAGCCAAAGGAAGATGCTTGCCTTGAAGAGCAGGAAGCATTTAGAGAATTGTTCAAAATCTGTTGGAAAATATACTCTGTACGATATTATATGGATATATATGATGAAGTAAAGAAGACTTGATAATTTACAATTATGGGAACAATGGACTTAAATATACATCTAAGGGAGAAATTCCCACTAGTTTCTTTTCATTTTTATTTTGAATCATTTAAGTGTATTCAGCTATAGAGCTATGACACATGACCGGTGCTATGTATACATATTGGATGACTCATTTGAAGTTAGAGACACTCATGCTCTGGATTTCATTCGCAAATAACACTATGAGGTATGCTTGCTTATACAAACAGTCGACCCTCCTCCGTAAGTACCCACCAAAGGGAATTTCAAAACCTTTGATTATTAAAACATGCCTTCGTCGTCCATGCATACCAGCGCCGTGAGAAATGTGGTTGCGTTTTGCCGGATTTGAACCAGCGATCTACTGTCTCAAGTGGGACATGTGTCCAAGCTATCCAGACTCTACTTGGGAGACCGGCCAAGACGATGTACCACCGCAGCATCCAACCATGGCGGTGTTTATAGTGTCGCCTGCACTCTCGCAACCGAAGTCTTGGCACGCACAAAGCTCAATTTGTAAAATCTCCTTGCCAAACATCGAAGTTTCACGCCCGTCGAAATTGTATCTATCCTCTGCATCATCTTATCAACTTATCCTGAGTCCTCTCACGTCAATCCCAAAGAACTGTCTCACAGATTTGTGCGCCATGCTTTACTTCCTCCATCGGGTGTAAATATCGGCGTAGGCGTGTATCTGGCGACCAGCTGAGGCCAGAGAAAGTCGACGAGAGGTGTGATCATTGGAATGAGTATGTACGAAGTCATACTTGTAGACTTGATGAGACTTAAATAGGAGTCTAGCTTGTCGGGATTGAAAATTTGAAATGGTGGAGAATTTTGGATCATTGCCTCGTGGACCAAATTCTATCGTATGGCGAAATTTGACTGAACCTGGCCCTGGGAGAATATTTCACTCCCAAGCTAATAGATCACACTGTGTATAAGTGTTCCGTCTTGCCCTTTGTCATGTCCTGCTTAATCTGGTCGTCAAGATCAAATCGTTTAAGTCGGGCGTAGGCGATAGGAAAGCGGGCCACTACCCTCGTGGCTGTAAAAGCATGAGGCTCAAGTTCCATACTCTAGCGTCGAAAAGTAGTTTGGCCCGTAGAATTTCTTGTACGAGGCGAGGATGTAGAATATGTTCCGCTGTCTGCACACATGCGCTACAACTGCAATTTTGGGTTACTTCTGAAGTGGAATGAGAGCTTGCCAAACGTTTGCTACCAAGACCCCGGAACGATGTGGCATGTATGCAGTCGCCACATATTTCTGGAGCCCCTCGTATAAGTGTATGGTATTCTGCTTCCAGGCAGTCTTCCAAGTTGAGGTATAATGTTCTCCCCTTTGAGCTAGCCACAGTTGGTGCCAAATTGAGTCCTTGAGTAGAGCGTTGGAATTCAAAAATCAACTAGTACTCCGCTGTTTGAGTGGAGCCTCAACCTTGTACTAGAATTCATTTGCCCACAAATTTCATGTCTACGTTCCTCTGACTCTTAACGTTTTGATTCGAAGGCTGTGGAAGCTCTACACGTAGCTAAGCGCCTAATCCTAATTGTTCGAGAAGAGCCCCATACAGTGTTGGTATGCTTTTGTATCTCCACTATAATTTTCTACCAAGCTTTCGAATATAGCCTGTCACATACGGTCTTAGACTGAGAAATAATAAACAGGATTATGCAGTTTTTATCTTTTTATGAACGTTCAAGGCCAAGAAACCATGTAGGATGGCCCTGGCCTCTGGGTCCTCTGAAGAAGATTTGGCGCATCGGCACGGCTTACTGGCGTCAGACATCTCTGTTAATTACTAAAGTCAAATTAAGTCGATGCAGACCACAAAATATCGTATGAATGCCTTCTTGCGGCTTGACTTATTTGGTGAGTACTGCAAGTTGAACAGCTTGTGAGAAGTGGGTAGAGTGCCCAGAGCGTTGGCTTCTCATAAGCCTCATGATGGATTGTAAATATTGTAGTGATCTAAGACCATCCTGAACAAGCGGGGCTTGTGGTTTAGTGGTATAATACTCCCTTAGCACAATAGAATGGGAGTGGTCCGGGGTTCGATTCCCCGCGAGTCCAGATCTTTTTCGTGTTTTAAATATCAGTAATCTATTGCCACGCGTGATGAATACTTCGGGTGATAATATCGACTATACATTTGGAAAGAGATGTAAAAATCAAAGTAGACAAGCCCCCCCGTTCATGTATACCGATAGAGCTTCAGGCAATTGAAAGAGAACATTAGCTTGCCCAACGTACGTGTTGACCTCCCGTTAGATTTGTGTGGAAATTATCCATCATCACCCAAATCAATCGGTAAGGCATGAAATTCCGCTGTTCATGGGTATTCACGATAGCTATTTCATAGAATGCAGGCGACACTATAAATACTGCCATGGTTGGATGATGCGGTAGTACATCATCCTGGCCAGTTTACTCAGTAGATTCTAGATAGCTCGGACACAAATCCCACTTAAGACAAGAGATAGCTGGTACGAGTTCGGCAATACTAGACATATTTCTCACAGTGCTGGTATGCATGGGTTATAAAAGCATTTTTCTTTTTTTTTCAATTATTTCATAAATCTTCAA